GAGGGAATAGTTGAGCTTTGCCACGATTAGGAAGATGAAACTTATAGAGCAATCTATAATTGAGTTGTGAAACACAGTCCTTGCAGTTCCACATTTTGTCATTTTGTTAAATGAGTATCTGGGGAACTGTTAGCTGTCACCAGGACAACAATGTTACAAATATAGCAGCCTACTGTACGGAGGGGTTAACAGATTCTCACCAATATAAGTGATAACATGTTGCTAAAGGCTATGGGGAATAAAGGACAAATTGGGATTCTTAAAGGACCGTTCTCTCGAACTTTACAGAGGACACAAAAATGTAATGACTTGTGTTAATTTCGATGCAACTGCAGCTGTGGAAAAATCCTTGCTAATCTGTGAGATACAGTCACAGAAGTACTGTACACAATCTCCCGTTTAAAATAACGTAAAGGATGTTTACTTAGTTGACAAGTAAAGTGTCAGGGAGATTACGTGGCAGGCATTTAAACTTTGACAGAAAGAAAGTGAGCAATGGCATAGCTGCCCTAAGGACTTTAGTGATATTGTTCACGCTGGAAACTTCTCAAATACTCTGGTAGGGTATAGTGGAAGGACATTCTTCCAGAGTCCGACCGTAAGCAGGGGTGTCACTCCAATTTTCACCACGGGCCAGCATCAGCATTATGCGTGCAACTCAAAAGGGGCCCGGTTGTAACTTTAGACTATATAAAACATATATATATATGCATATATATAAAGATAATGTATGTGTATATTACATTATTGCCTCTGCATTGGATTATTATCGGATAGGCTAATAACTTCATAATTAACTACGTCTGAAAGCAGAAGTCTAGGGCAAATAATTGCAAGTATCTTCAGTAAGAATGTCCCAATATGTTTTAAAAGAAAAGCCACATTCTGGAACAAAAAAAAATAAGTGACATTTTGAAAAAAAAGTAATTTTTGAGAAAAAGGCTAATTCTAAAAAAAGAAGCATATTTTGACAAAAAAAGTCAAATTCTGAGAAAAAGTCAAATTTGAGATGCATTGTGGGACATGTCGTTTATGGGCAACGTGCTTCTGTAAAGTAGCATGTAACCTTATAATAAACATATTATATTCTTTGCAAGCTCTTGTGGGGCCACATAAAAATGAGGTCGCGGGCCGGATTTGGCCCACGGGCCTTGAGTTTGACACCCCTGCTGTAAAGTATGTGAATAACACATGGCACTGGGGCTTGAGATGAGTGGGGTGGGGTGAGATCGACCTGGCAGTCACTCTGCATCCCTCTCATTCCTTACTGTCTAGGAATCTGCATTCTGTTTTGTGTAAGAGATCATTTCATTCATTCAACTCATCACTGAGAGCGTACACAATCAGTCCTTGAAGTGACTAAAATCAAGTATGCACAGTAAAACACATCTACCAAAAATAAAGTGAGTTGTATATATTTTACTCTAAATATATATCATTCTACTAGAATTTCTACGTAAGTTCAATACAAATTAGACATTATGTCTTAAGGGACACTCCCTGAATTGCCTGAAAAAAAGCCTTCACAATCTGCCACAGAGGACTCGATCCCTCCAAGAGCTCGGCTTGAGAATTACAGTGTAGTCAGCATCTATTACAGCCTCCACATGATCATTTAATTTGATCCTGTAATGTGAATTAAACCCACTGCTCCCACCTCACGGTGCCCTTTTAAACACATGCTTTCCCCTGTAGCCAACCAAAACGAGAGGGATACAGGGCCGTTATTGTAATCTACTCAGTTTATGAGTCAAAAGGGACCAGAATGCACTGCTGCTCGTGATCAGCTATGGATATCAAGACTGAGATGATTTAAATAAAAAGGACAAATGTTAACAGACCTTCCTGTTTCAGCGTGATAAAATGAGATTGCCCTTGCAGCAGTTCAAAGAACTTGTAAACATGACTAATGTGCATGCACGTGTGGCCTGTGGTGAATATTTTGACCATAAAAGGTAAGGAGCCAGGAAAACTCAAAAGCACATTACAGTTTTAGGTTTAGTTTCTGCTTTAAGTCGAGCATAGGAAGCTGGCTCAGTTTCATCGACACAGCATAAAGTGAGCTGACACTTAACCATCTGTCAGTGCCACTTAAAATAAGACCCAATAATGCTGCTCCTTTTAAGCCACAAAATACAGAGTAAAAGCAATACAGGATAACATTTAAAAATGACACTTACAGTCATCTTTGCAGATGTAGTCAGTCAAATGGAGCTGAGAAGAAGTGAGAGTGCTGCAGGGCCTCACTGCACCCTCTGAGGAGAATATATACAGTGTGGGAGGGGCCTCCAATCTGAGTGACAAACCAAGCAGCGAATACAATCAGCCCACCCAACCAATGACGTCACATTTTTGTTAAAGTCCGTAAATCCTAATTTTGTACTTAACATATAATTGCAGACGTCAGTGAAGTGAGGAGGATTACTGATTTGTTGACATCAGACCGTTAGATTATGACCCGTGCTGTGGAGTCTAACTGTGAGAGGGGACAGAGCCCCGGACAGAAATAGAATGCATTTGTTGCTAGGGAGACAACTAAATATTTGGCACGGCCAGGAGCCCTAATGTGCACTGACTGTATATAGCTGCCGGAAGGATCAAATGGCAAGCATGTGAGGCCGTCCTGCCTGCAGTAAACCCCAGTTAGGAGGGAAAAGTGAAATGTTGAAACTGAGTCAAATTCTCCAAACGATCTGGATCTATGACTCACTGCCAGCATCAGGCATGACTTTCATCTGCTGATATACGACTGAAGCAGCTGCTGTGACTCACAGAGAATGAGCCGGACACTTACCCTACAGTTCAATACAATGTAATTCAATGAAAAGTAATTTAATATCGAAATCACGAGGAGCAGCAGTCAAAAAGTATAGACTTTCTTTTCTGGTAATTGTTCTCGTGGTGACCTGCATCTTGCATCATATTGCATCATATAGTTGCACTTATGTAATAGCCTTTACATTGTAATGGTAGACGTTTGAATAGAAGAAATACAATATGTTTATTGAAGAAGCTTGACATAAGCTAAGATTAAAAAAAACT